TTTGAGACAGGGGCTCTCAGTAGCCCCAGCTGGCCTGGAACTCACTATGTAGACCAGGCTGGCCTCAAACTCACAGAGATCTGCCTGCCTCTGCCTCCCAAGTGCTGGGATTAAAGGCGTATGCCACCACACCTGGTTTTGGTTTTTATTTTTATTTTTATTATTTATTTATTATTTATTTTTGTTTTTTGAGACAGGGTTTCCCTGTAGCCCCAGTTGGCCTAGAACTCAGTATGTAGACCAGGCTGACATTAAGCTCAAAGGGATCAACCTGCCTCTACCTCTCAAGTGCTGGGATTAAAGTTGTGCACCACAATGCTGAGCTAGTCTGTGACTTTAGTTTCAAAGGGCTTAGATGGCTCCACTCCTCCAGCTTTGCAAAATATATCTCTCTCTTGTCCTGGTTCCACTCCCTGTATGCCATCCTCCTTGGCAGATGTCTCATGGCTCTGGCGTATCCAACATCTTCAGAGATTTATTTTCACAGCTTCACACAATGGCCTCACAGGATCTTCTTGTAGTAACTCCTGCACTGCCACACACTGCCTGGCCTTAGAAGTTCTTGGAAAGCTCAGAGGAATAATCCACAAACCTTTCATTCTTGCATTTTTCTTGCCTCTAAAACCAGTACCACATGGATGACGCTGCTAAGTTTGACTGCCAGCTTGGAATGGATGCTTACCTACTTTGACTACATTAGTAGCAGCTTTTGTATGTTAAAACAATTGCTTTCTAGGAGAAAGCAACCCATTAGGCTTTCTCTTTTCACAAGTTAGATGCTTAAGTAGGTGAGGTCTTGACCTAAGGGTACCCTTTCTATTGCTCCAGGGCAGAGCAGGAGGCCACTCCTCAATGGTGCTAATCACTGTAACAACTACAATCTAAGATTCCTAATCATCCTTTTCTCTCCACACTATACATTTTGTATTTCTTTCTACCCTACTTGCTCTTTTTTGTACACCTACATAAGAGATATTGGTAATAACCATATCACAGAGTCAAAGTTATACTGTCTTGCAATTTCCTCTACCAAAGAAATTAGTTCATTACTTTTTAATTTAGCCTCAGGCAAGTTCTTAGGACATGGGTAGAATGCAGCTATATTCTTTGCCAAAATATCACATGAATAGCATCTAGCCCAATTGTAATAGAGACTTTATTTACTTCTGAAACCTCATGCAATAAATCTCTACCTTCTGCATTACTCTCAGCACTATTGTCTTCAGGTTCCTAGTAGAATAGTCTGTTAAGCTCTGCTTAAAACATTCAAATGCTTTTCTACTCCAAATTTCCAAAGTCTTCTATATTTCTCCAAAACGCAATGTGGTTAGGTTTTTTTTTTTTTTTTTTTGATAGCAACAGCCCCACTCCTAGTACCAACTTCTGTATTGGTTGGTTTCTTGTTGTTGTGATAAAATACTGTGACTAAAAGTGACTTATGGAAGAGTTTATTTTGGCTTATAGTTGTAGAAGGTTAAGAATCAGTCATGACAGGGAGGCATGGCAGCAAGCGGCATGTATGATGGCAGGAAAAGGAGGCTGAGAAATTACATCTTCAACCACAAACATGAAGCAGAGAGAGCAAAATGGAAGTAGGGTACAGCTTTGACTATTTAAAGCCTGCCCCTAGTGACATACTTCCTCCAGCGAGGCTACACCACCTAAACCTCCTCAATTAGTATCACCAACTGGGGACCAAGTGTTCAAATACCTGACCCTATGGGAGAGACTACTCATTCAACCACCACAACATACAGACACACACATGTACACCACACACACACACACCACTGAGATGCAATAATGAAAGAAATGCAAAGCAGGTGATCTACTGGATTATGTTTGGGAAAAAAAATTGCCAGAAAATGCATTTTGGGGCATTGTAGGAGATTTTAAATATGGATTGTATATAAGGGAATTATCAATTGATTGACTTTGGTTTGATAATGGTATGTGTATATAAAAAAATTCTTATTCCTGGGTGTTAGTTTTTGAAATATTCAATACTGAAGTATTATACCGGTGGCTTGTTTTCAAATGGATCAGAAAAAAAGGAGAGATTATGCTGAGAGAAAACAAATGTAATGAAAGATAGCAATTGATCTAAGAGGAGCAAATATGAATGCTTCTCATATTGTCCTTTCAATGTTTGGACATTTTCAATGTCCAAAAAATTGGAGCGAAAGTTTTAAAAGTGAAAAAAGGGAGCTGGGGAGATGGCTCAGTGGTTAAGAACACTGGTTGTTCTTGCAGAAGACCCAGGTTTGAATCCCAGCACCCACATGGAAACTAACAACTGTCTGTAACTCCAGTTCCAGGGGATCCGACAGCCTCTTCTGTCCTCCGTGGGCATTGTATGACATGGGTGCACTTACCTACATGCAGGCATAATACTTATACACATAAAAAAATATTTTTTTTAAAGTGAAAAAAAAATATGAGTCACTGAAATGGCTCAGTGTGTAAAAGGGTTTGCCACCAAGTCTGATGACCTGAGTTCAATCCTTGTACACCCATATAGTAGTGGAAGCAGAAAACCAACTCAACATAGATGTTCTCTGACCTCCACATTTCCACCATGTATACATACCCATGCATACATATACACACACATGAAATAGTTTTTTAAGATTTATTTCTATTTTTTATCTGTGCATATATATGTATGTATGAGTGTGGGTTTGTGCGTGTGCCCAGAAGAGGGTGTTGGATCCCCATGGGTCTGGAGTTACACAGGTGGTTGTGAGCCACCCAACACGAATGCTGGGCACCAAACTCTGGTCCACTGGAAGAGCACCAAGAGCTTTTAACCACTAAACCATCTCTCCATCCCCACAAAATGATTTTTTTTTAAATTATGAAAACACCAATTAGGAGAAAATAGATAAAATTTTTATAATTATGCACTGTAGAGAACCTTTAATGTGTTACTCTGAAGTAAATCATTCCATCAAAGACACATGAGAGCTGGAGAGAGAACTCAGCCTTCATCAGAATCATCTGAGATACATGCTAAAAATGCAGCTCCTTAGGCCTACAAAAACTACGTTTATTTATTTGTGTGTGCTCACAGTGCACAAGTCAAAGGACAACTTGTGAGAACTGGTTCTTTCCTTCCATCATATGGCAGCAAACGTCTTTACCCACTGAACCATCTCAAAAGACTGTCCTAGGGAATATAACTTTGCTTTCTAAATGATATAAACTTCCCTGGTGGTTTGTAATCACACTATTCAGGAATCAAAAATATGACTCAAATTTTTCCCCCTTCTTCAATTCATTTACCTTTGTTTCAGAAGGAAGGTGGGAATATAGAAGCCAGTCAAGGTCATTTCTGGCTTATGTGCTGCCTTAGGCAAATTCTTTAACCACATTAAAAACAGTGTGAATAATGACTACCTTGAAGGGCTCTTGTAAAAAGTAGAGTCACTCCTTGAAAAGTGTCCAATAATGTGATTGGCATAGAATAGCTTCCCAATAAGTGACTGCATTACGTTTCACTGAAACTCATAAGCTATTTCTATGGTTCTTTTTCTCGTTCTTGTCCTCCTTTCTTTATGTGCTTTGTATATAATTATGACCCCCACCCCCAGAAAATATGCAGATGTCTAAGTTTCCAGAACCTTAGAATATGATGTTATTTTAAAATGAGATCCTTACAGATGTAGTTCTCAGATTTTTTTTTTCAGTGCTGAGGATGAAACTCATGGCCTCAGGCATGCTAGGCAACACTGAGTTACATCCTCAGCCAGAGGAAGTCACAACATAGTTCAGTGGGCCCCCACTCTGATAGGTTTCTTAATCAGAAGAGAGAAATTAGAACACAGATTGGCCAGCAGAAAGATGGATATGAAGATACACAGGAAAGATGGCCATGTGACATAGGTAGAAATTGGGATGATACATCTAAATCAAAGACTGAGTGCCAAGGATCGCCAGCGGCAAGGAAGAGACAAGGAAGTATTCTCCTGTACGGGTCTCACAGGAAGCAGGGCCCTCCCAACATCCTGATTTAGGACTTCTGACCTTCAGAATCATGAGAAAATAAATTACCATTATTTTAAGCCATACAGTGTTTGATACTTTGTCACAGCATTCCTTAGGAAGTAGTATAAGCCCTAATATCCTTCAGTAGGTAGACGAAACCAACTGTGATACAGCCACATTGTGAGCAGAACACTACTGAATCTTAAAGACCTTTAAAGATAGTCTTCAGAGGCTACATCTGCATGCTTCCTGTGACATCCTGTTAAAGGAAAACTGATAGGGAAGGAAAATCTCAGCATTTGCCAGAGATTAGGGTTTGTTGACTACACAGGGGAACAATGAGGGAAATTTTCTGAGGCATGAAACTGCTCTGTGACTTGATTGCAATAGTGGCTATGTAAATCTATGCATATATGCCAGGTGAGGTGGCACACACATTTAATTCCCAGCAATCAGGCAGAAGCAGGTGGATCTCTGCAAGTATGAGGCTAGCCTGGTCTACATAGCCAGCCTGGATAACATACTGAGACTTTATCTCCAAAAAATAATAAAATAAAAATAAAAATAGATCTATGCATATCTTAAGATTCTTAGTGCTATATGTCCAAAAAGAGTTCATTTTATGGTATATTAATTTAAAGTTTAAAAAAAAGTGAACACAGCAGTTAGGAGCACTGGCTGTTCTTATAGAAGACCCTGGTTTGAATCTCAGTACCCACATGGCATCTATAACTCCAGTTCCAGGGGATCTGATGGTCGGCACTGCACGGCATGGGTGCACTCACAGACATGCAGGCATAACACTCATACACATAAAAGAAAAAAACATAAAAAAATGAACACACACCTATACTCAAATCATTTTCAACACTACTTGTAAAGACATTTCCCATCTTGGTTTCCTGCCGGGAATAGGTTTCTTCTTTCCTGTTTTCTCTGTCAACTAAAGGCCCAAGGTCATTTTCGGTCTTTATGTAGAGTCCAGAGAGGATAAGAGGAGTGAGCTGGGTGGCTCACATGGACTCCATCAACTAGAAGTCTGGTTCATAGATGTTAGGGATCAGACCTATCCCGGAGTGGATCATGCGGACCGTGTTCTTATTAAACAGCTTGAACTCGTAATGGACAAGTTGCTCCCAGAAGCCATTGTTGGGCCGGATGACCGGGCGGCACAACTTGGTCCACCTGTAGGCATCCAGCAGGGTCATGGTGCGGTATTTCATGAGGTAGGCTAGGCAGAGGGTTGCGGAGCGGCTCACTCCTGCGGCGCAGTGCAGTAGCGTGCGGCCATTTCTCATTTCCACGCCATGGATGTGATCAGCGACAGGGTCAAAAAAGTCATAGAGATAGGAATTGGGAGTGTCACTCACAGGCACCCGCATGTACTGAATGTCTTCAAAGACTGCGTTCACCACTTCTGCCGCAGCATTGATGATCGTGGTGATGTGATGGTCGGTTAGGATGTGTTTGTTGTTAGCGGCCGCAGCATCGCTGATAAAGAGGCTTCTGGTTATCTGAGAGAGGCCATAGCTGCTGGACTGCTGCTCCACCCGAGCCCGAGGGACATAAGACGATGGTATCATCAAGTCGGCAGGTCAGTTGTCTCTCTTCACGAAGTTCTAGAGCCTTGCCAGCAGTGACTTGGGGAACGCAGCTGCACTGTGAAGTCTCGGACAAGGTCTAGGGTACAGAGGAGCACTAGTGATAGGTCACTAAGCTCCCTCTCTCGTCCACTGCCCAGGCGTCACAATGGTCACTCACCTTTCTCCTCCTCCACTGCCCAGGTGTCACAATCCTCTAAGGCACAAGGCTTAGGTTTTCAATGCAAAGGCAGTTAGCTGAGGGAAGACGTGCCCCCTAGCCCCTTCACAGGCCCACTCCCACGTCTTTCTCTTTTTCTTTTTTCTTTTCTGTCTCTTCGTTCCTCTCTCTCCTTTCTCACTTTATTTTATGATTTTTTAAATTTGTTTTCTTGTTTGTATTTGAGATAAGATCTCAACATTGTAGACTGAGCTGGTCTCAAATTCAGGATCTTTCCAACCCTCCCTAGTGCTGGGATTACAGGCCTGCATCACCATGTGGGGCCTCCAAACGCTTTCTTTGTATTTTATAGTTTATTTTTTAGATAGTGTCTCGGGTATTCCACACTACCTTTGAACTCATTATTTAGCCAGATGACTGCACATTTCTTCTGTTCCTTCCACCTCTACCTCCTGAGGTCTGGGATTATAGGCATGTACCTGCTTCTGAGGTGCTGGGGATCTAACCCAGGGCTTCAAGCATGTTAAGCAAGCACTCTCCCAGTTGAGCTCCATCCTCAGCCCTAGTTGGTTTTTACTTTTCAAAACCTAATTATCTTTTTTTTTTCCTCTTAAAATGTTCAGTTTACGAGCCAGATGTGGCAGTCCCCACCTTTAATCCCAGCACTCAAGAGACAGAGGCAGGCAGATCTCTGTGAGACTGAGGCCAACCTGGTTTACATAGTGAGTTCCAGGATAACTGGGGCTATAGGGAGACCCTGTCTCATATCTGTTTTATGCTTCAGTTACTGGACCACACTGAACACAATATCTATGAATACTTCTATTTCATTATCATTGAACAGAATTTATACTTTCTCTGCAAAGTGGTAGTATTATATTTTAAGTTGGAACAACATTTGGTTCATGTGATATGCTAATCTTTATAAAACTGCAGCAAGATAAGAGTTTGGGTGAGCTTGGTGGGCTGTTGTAACACTTCTTTGCCGATTGTTACCATAGGATTATGTTCCTGCTTACAAACACATTAGAGTTGGTTGTAAGGGAACATTGCTAACAGATTTATAGCCCTCTATCTAGCCAATAGTTGGCCTGTAGTGGACAGTTGTGACTAATTTAGCTGTGTCACAGTTCATTTATACATCTAGCCCAAAAGATTTATCACTCAATTCTCTTTATTACCTGAAACAACAGCTCAAATTACCCTGTCTGCTTTCTTCAAAAGAGTGCCCATGTACACTGTAAACCACAAGTCATTTTGATCATCACCAAAGATGTCTTCTCAGTAATACTAAAATGTTCTGGAATAAGTTAATGCCACATTATAACTGGGTCAAAAATTTATTTTTTTAAATGCCACCTAACATTTTAATTTCCTTCCAGCAAAAATTTTTTTTTTTAGTTTGACCTAAAATTGTAAAGAACCATAACTTAAAACTTTGTTTCACAGAATATGCAGAGAATCATGGTCTTCATTCTGTCTCCGTCATCATTTTAAGAAATATCTTAATTATTGTTAGTGTGTCTGTTTGTATGTGTGTGTGTGTATGCATGTGGGCAGGCACATGCCAGGTGCACATGCCATGGTGCACATGTGGAAATCAGAGAACTTTCGGGAGTCAGTCAGTTCTCTCCTTTCGCCTTGGGTTCAGGGAATTGAACTCGGGCTGACAGGCTTACACTTCAAGCACCTTAACCCACTGAGCCACTGGTCCGTCATTTTGATTTATGTGTAAAGGTGTGTTGTAGTTGTGAAAAAGGATGAGACAGATGCTATCCTTTTCATAATGGTCAGGGAAATAATAACCTCAAGACATTACATCATTTTCCTTAGTTGCATAATCAAATTATTTTAAAAAATTTTTATTGACCTTTTATACATTTCATACAACAATTATTATTATTATTATTATTATTATTATGGTCTTTTTGAGTAGTTAATATTTTTCTTATACAAGTCTACATGGAGCTTCCCTACCCACTTCTGGGAGTGTTGTGAAAGAATTTGTCATTTGACTTGGTCTAATGGTCAACATCATCCAAAACCAACAACAATATGCTGCCCTTTATTAAGACCTGGATATTGTGGATCTGGAGAGATAGTTCACTGCCGAACGGCGCTAGCTGGCTGTGCAGAAGACCTGCACTCAGTTCCCAGAACCCACATGGCAACTCACAAGAGTCTGCAACTCTAGTTCCAGGGGACCCAACACCCTCTTCTGGCCTCTGTGGGCACTGCACATACTTGATGTACATACATACACATATGCACGTACATGCACATAAAATAAAAATAAATCTAAAAA